TCAGTCGTGAAGTTGACACCAGAACAAAAGGCAGAAGCGCTAGCGAGTAAAAAGAAGGGAGCTAAATACACCATGAAGAATTGTAAGGTGATAACAGTAATTCCTGAGGAAGAACAAGAAGAAGAAAAGTAATAATTTTGTAAAAATATTATTATTTTTCTTACTTATTTATATGAGCGAGAAACAGAAAATAATTAATGATGTTTATTTTGATAGAAGCGGATTCGGTTCTAAGGCTAGCACGTTGAAAGATGCAAGAGCCAAAGATAAAACAATTACAATGGCTGACGTTGAAAAGTTCTTTAAAAGTAACATTGAAGAGAAAAGAAAACCAAGAGGTGAAAATAGCTTTGTAGCTCCACATGCGTATTTTGAGTTTCAACTTGATTTGTTTTTCATATCAAGCAACGATTTAGAAAATCAAAAGTTTACAATAGGTTTAGTGCTTATTGACATATTCACTAAATACGCAACTGTTATACCGATAAAAAGCAAGCAATCACCAGACGTTCTAGCGGGTCTCATGGAAGGATTAAATAAAATGGAAAAGAAACCGCGTATGTTATATTCGGACGAAGAGGGTAGCTTGTACAGTAACACTATATCGGAGTATTTGGAAGACGAGAAAATTGAGATACATAGAACTCGTGGACACCCAGCGTTTGCGGAACGGTTCATTAAAACCTACAAAGATAAATTATTCAAGCGCATTGAAGCGGACGAAAAGAAAGGGAAAGAAAATATTCAGTGGATTGATTATAACCTTGAAATATTATTGACATATAACAATAAAGATATACATTCGTCACATAACATACATGACACCAAAGGAAGCACGATTGCCAAAAAATGAATTGAAAGTAAAACTGAGTTTAAACATGAACGCTAAACGTAGCAGAATATACCCCGAGATAGATGAAGGAGACAACGTCAAGATAATGAGGAAGAAAGGCATAAGTGAAAAAGAACATACGTCACACTGGAATAAAACAATCCATAAAGTCACGAAGATTGAAAAGAAATTAGGACAAAATTATTATCACTTGGACGATGATAAACAGCCATACTTGCGACATGAATTATTAAAGGTTTCTTAAGAAAACACACTTAAAGAAATAACAACTTAATATATTATGATAGAAATGTTCAGTGAACAAGAACAGGAAGAAATTATTAATCAATTCTTGGGTGTTGTTGAGATGAAGAAGATAGTCAACAACAAGGTAAGTATGTGCACCAAATGCAAATTTGCACCGCAAAATATGAACCTATATCACATATCATTGCCTGACAATATTGTGAAAAACATATGTAAATATAATTACAAAGAATGCGAAACATGTACCACGCTAAGAGAGTTGAAAGGTAATGTTTATGGTTGTAGTATGAAAAAATTTGACAATGATGTTGAAGCAGTTGAAGATAAACCTTGTATTGAGGAATACAGAGGGGGTGAGAAGGAGAAAAGAAACACACAAATCTATTTTTACGTGAACCTAAACCCATTCCCAACATACAAAAAAACTTCAATCAAAGGTATTAAAAAATGATACAAAATTCTACAACGAAAAAACTCACAAGGAAATCAAGAAATGTTATTACAATTTATGGCGCGAAAAGGATGATACAAAATCGTTTTACACCAAGCTTCGTAATCAGATAATTGCAGAATACGACAAAACATTTAAGAAAGACGTTGATACAAAACAAAGGCTTGAAAATTATATTGCTTCACACATGAATCCAATAAGCGATATATTAAAAAGCATCTGCGATTATATCGCTAACAGTGAAGAGCAAAATCAAGTTGAACACAAACTGTATTCAAAACAAACCTCATCTTGGGTTAAGGCGAGTCTTTCAATAATTCATTATAACGATGACTACTCATGGGAAAGGTATTTAGATTCTAGATATCCATGGTTACCAAAAGATGAGTATCTAAAACGACATGGTATAACAACAACCAAGAAACTTCACGACAACTATCTAGACCTTGACGACTTTGAGTAGGCAAATAAGATTAAAATATTAATATCATTTGTTAATTGTATTCCCCAAACCCTAAATTTTCAGTACCTTAGATTTTTTATGTTGGTTTTTGATTGTTTTGTGGTTTTTTGGTTCACTAGAGTAAAAATACTAAGCAAATACTATTAAAATATTCATGTTGTTTGTGTTTTGTATCTTTTCATACCCCAAAATCTTCAGTACCTTACTTTTCGTATTTTGGTTTTTGATTGTTTTCTTGTTTTATTTTTTGAGACAAAAGTCTTGAGCCAAACGCCTTAGGGTTTTCATAGGGATTTAGGAGGGAAACCCTACAAACCCTAAAAACCCCAAACTGAACGCGAAAGCCTTCGCGTAGCATACGCGAACCCAGATCCTAAACCCAAATCCTAAACCCTATAAGCACCAAGCACCTTCTGAGGCCGTCGCAGTGCTTTGACTGTTAAACAGTCGGATTTCCCCTGCGTCCGCTTCGATTTACTCACACAGCCAATCCTTTTCCCGAAGTGGGAACCCCGAAACCCTAAACCTAAATCCACCTTCAAGAAGTTGTCGCAGTCAATGTCATTCTGGTAGACGTTCACCTGGCGGGAGCTAAGTCGTGCTTTTCGGAGTAAGGGTTTGGGTCATACAGGGACATACTTAGCCCTCCCGGCACTGCTTCAGCTCAACCTGCTTTTTGCTTTCTGGCTGGTTTTTGCTTCGGACACCGTGCCCTGTGTGGCCTGTTCATGGTGTCAGACGGCTTCTGCTTGACCCAGAGCTCATCTGGGACAGGAAGGGACGCTTCATCCCACGTCGTCATTGGGTCGGCACTCATCGCACTGATCTCGCGCTCGATGGTATCCACTGTCGCGCCCAGTTTGGCGAAGCGCTTTGCCTTGGCCTGAATCGTCTTCCGACGATACGTTTGGATGTACTCTAGAGCCTCTCCTTCTTCAGCCATGTCTTCGAGGTCGCATACAAGGCCGTTGCACTCGACAATAATGTCTGCAAGTTCATGTCCCACCAAGTTGAAGGCGATGCTGTTTGGCTTTCGAAGCTCCTCCTAACATGACGGGATACGACCACCAGATGAGACCCACAAACCAACACAAGCCCAACCCCAAGCAAAACAATCTACCTACCAGTGCCCAAGTGCGTTTCTGAGCTTTGTATCCAGTCCTCGGTGCCAAAATTGGTGCCTTCACCTCCAGGCCATACTTGGTCGATGCTCATGCCATCACCGAGAGGCGTGGGGAACTGCACGTGTCTTTTGGTGTGTCCGTGCCACATGCTCCTCTGGTAGTTCGGCAGAAAGTGCATCTGGACAAAGTCGGAGAAGATGGGTCGGTTGTAAGCGATGCCACCTGTATTTACTACTACCGGCACGGTGTAGTGCTTCCCATTCGCAATTAATGTCCGGATCTGC